AAATAATAATAAGTAATATTTATTAAGAAATTATCATCATATGCCAGACACAGTTGTAGAAACTTTGCATGTGTCAGTGTTCTCAAACCTTGAGAAATCCAAACAATGTAGGTGTTATTCTTACCAGCTCATTAAAGACGAGGGAACTGAGGCATAAGGTCACAGGATTCATGATGCAGGGAATGAGAGAGGCAGTGCTGGGTAGGGCCCTGTCTTTAATCATTGTATCATTTACCTTCTTTGCTCTCAAAAAACAGCAGTTCTATTCCTTCATTTACATAGCAATCTATATTTTCTGATGCATTTATCTCGTATAAATTCATGTCTTTGGATTGTTCTACCCTGCCTCACTCCCTGAGATGTGATGGGGTAGAGATTACACCATTTCCAGGTAAAGAAAGTGTAGCTCAGTTAAAGTATTTTGAATCAATGTCTTACAACTTAATAACTGGATGATCTGGAATATGAATCCAGATTTTTGGATTCCTACTTTGTTTTTAAACTATGCAACATTACAAAATTCCACAAGCACTTAAAGAATGGTTGGAAATATTATCTAAACCTTTAAACCACTCAAATTTACTGTTATCATTCATGTTATTCTATGACTTAGATTTACTTTAAAAAATCTATTTCAACTCTGAGAGAAGAATGCAGCTTCCCAAGGAAACAATGAGCAAAACAGTGGTTAGCATCTTAGAATAGTCTATACAATATTCTTAACATTTAGGTCATAGAAATACAATGTTCATGGAAGTCATTATATTCTAATGATTGTTTAGTTCTCTGGATTTACCTAAGGTGATTTTGCTTTCTAGGGAAATCTGAAAGAAAGCAATGGAGCAATGTACATTTGGGAGAGGAAGATTGGAGGTTAATAGAGAGACCACCCATTACTCACTGGGTCATCTATTAGTCAGAGAAGGTCTGCATTTTTATTCTCTCTGAACTGTTCCATGCCGGTATTAGCATAGATGCTTCTGATTTTGTGTGAGATAATAGCCATACACTCTACAGTTTTAAATTATTGAAGAATGGCATGAATGATAGTATATTCAGGCAGTAATCTGTCAGTTCTCTATCTCCAACCTCCCCACACACACAAAAAAAAAAAAAGAGGGAGAGAGAGATTTTGTAGAGTGATTCTTTGGAAATCCCTTTTAAATCTTGTATTTTTCTGAAACACCTACAGTCTCCATGATGTTGGAAAAATCTACCAGGAAAGAGACCAACAAGCAAATCAATATCAGCAGCATAAATATGAAAGGAAATTGTGTGGTAACACCACAAACTATCTTTCTAAGGCTCTTCAATTGGCCAGAAATCTTTTCTGTTTTGTGGTTTACCTTTGGGCAATGCAAACAAATGTATCCAAAATGAGTCCCAGGGCTCTTTCATATTTCATAACTTTTACTTTCACCTACTCACTAGTGAAAATGAAAGGGACTTTTCTCAGTTTTAATTTCTTCTTTGGAATCCTAAAGTATTTCCCTAAAGTGTGTTTTTAAATTCTTAAACGCTTCATTTAAAAAAAAATATATATATATATATATTTAGTTGTATTTGGACAAAATATTTTTTATTTTGTTTATTTATTTTTACATGGTGCTGAAGAGCCAAACCAGGGCTTTCCACATGCCAGGCAAGAGCTCTGTGGAGCTACAACCCCAGTCCTTAAATGCTTTCTTAAATCACTTTTTTTCTTTTTATTAAAATGGTTCCTTTTAACTTCTTACACAACCATTTATTTTAAAGTATGCAGGATCACTCTTTCCAGAGTGTTGAGACATTGATGATTCAAGAAAAGATTATACTAAATGTCACCATGGTAAAATGGAAAGAACTTGAGATAGGCACCAAGAACCTCAGGTGCAGCCCACTAAAATCATTCTTTTAAGTCCTATGAGTGTCACTTGTTGCAGTATCATTGTGTGTTATATGTCTCCAGGCTCAGTACAAAATACCCCAAAAGAAGGCACCTTGACATGCTGAGAACTTTGACCTAAAGTTGATTCAGAGGGCCTCCGAAGCAAAGTCTCTCTAACCTTTGCCCACCGTCATTTCTCCTCTTCTAGTTCTCCTTCTAACAGACCATAGAAACTAGAATTTCACTCCCCCAAAGTGGGTCACAGAAACTGGAATTCCTCTTCTCACAGCAAACTATTAGACCCAGAAAGGTCATGTTCTGACCTTCCCCTCTCTTTGTGTGTGAAGCATAGTCATAAGAGAATTCTTTGACTTACCTTGGCTGAAAGTAGGTCATAAGGCCCTCACTCCAGAGCGGTCCTACCACATACCTGGCCTGGAAAGGAATACTACACATTTCTACATGACTGTATGTTCTTCATTGAATCTAAACATAAAAATAGAGAGTATACTTTAAGTCTTCTAAGATGAGAGGAAAAAGAACAAATCTTTTTTATAGATTTAGATACTCTCTCTTTCATAGGTACAAGTGACTTTCTTAAAGTAGCATCAAATTTCATTACTTAGGTGTCTTCAAGAAGTTAATGCTTTAAAATGTTATGGAAAGTTCACAATAATTTAATCACCCACAGAAATTGATGTGAAGGGTACTCTTCCCTTTTAGTGTTAAACACGCTTGATATATTTTTTTCTTTTCTTACATATTTTTATGTATTATTTTGGTCACATTCATTATAAAAACTTTTATTATACATGGGCTTTGAATACCAATTTTTAACCTTAAAAATTTTAAATTTTTTGTTCCTATTCTTTTATTGGGAAATTGATAGCTCAATTCTAGAATGCAAATTATGCCCTTTAAGAAGAAATGAATATATGAAGAAATGAAAATTATCATGAGATTAAAACTTTATAGGAATGTCTTGAGGAAGCTTTATTTATGAATGAGCAAAATAGCGTTTCAAATTCCATCAGAGAAAGCTTAGTAACTTAAAAGACTTAATATATGTCCAAATTGAGATGAACTATTTCCCTCTTACCAGCAACATCAGTCCATAATATGACTGCATAAAAATACTAGTTTGGAATTTAGGGTGACACATTACTTCAATATCTTGTGTGTAGGACTAGTTAATTTCATTTCCCAAAAAGTCATTGAAATTTTTCAGTATCTATTTATTTAATGTGGCTCTATGACTTTGCACTCTGACTTTGGTGATTCATAATTTTTTTTTCTGAGCTAGAAATGGAGAAATCCCTGTAATAATACTGTAGTTAATTGCTCATTTTTAGCAATGGCTACACACATCTGGAGGTTTTTGGTCACTGCCTTAAATGTCATGTAAGAAGAAAGTCTGTAAAACATCAGTGGGAAAGATGAGAAATTGTGCTGTTTCCATTTTATTGAGGTCATCACTAACCCTCTCATTAGCAAGCACATTTTAGCAAACACCTCATCTATTCCTAAAAATGTCTTTATAAATTCCTCTAATGACAAGAAACACACACACACACACACACACACACACACACAGAGTCTTTCTTTTTTGGAGCAATTTTAAACAAATATATACATTTTATTTCTATTAAAATCTACTATACAAAAGGAATATAGTACTTATCATTCAGTCATACATTCAAAGTATGTTCAGCAAATATGTGTCTTAGACATCATGTTAGCCACTGGGAAAATAAAGATAAAGAAACACAAATATAGGTCATGGCTTCACAGAGGTAACCTGAAGAACAAAAAATATCATGAGATTTAAACTTTATAGGAATGTCTTGAGGAAGCCTTATTTATGAATGAGCAAATCCCAAAAGGGAATATGTATAGTCTCTGGTGGAAGAAAACTTGGAAAATTACGGAACTAAATATATCTCCTCTGGAACAGAGAAAATTGTTAAAAGTGATAGATTATGAGAGTGGTGTGGTAGGAATTGACTCAAGAGACTCTGGAGGTCCTATAAACCCAAGGTAGATTTCAGCTTTACTGGAGAGCAATGGAAAACTGTGTAAGAATTTCAAAGCAAAAGCATTTTGAAAACACCATTCCATTTTCAAGGTCAAGGACCAATTGAAGAGCATCAACAATAGGTTAAGAGCCAGTTAATCCTTTACAGTGTTCCAGGAAAAGGATGTGGGACATTTGTAGGAGGCCAGGGTCAGTACACATGAAAATAGGAATCCAGGGTGAAATCTACTTACAAGGTGAACCTGCCAGTAGTTGGTGTTGGATTAGACAGAATGGGTGAGAGGAACAGGTACGAGGTTGTATCTTGAAATTTTGGCTTTCAAAATGGAATGGCTTTTGGTGCCACTTCCTGAGACAGGAAGCATGGCAAAGAAACCATTTGCAGGCAGATTTATGAGTCCAGTTTTAGGTTGAGGCACTCAGGTCAAAATAAAGAAAATTGGGTATCTGGTTTTGGCTGAGAGGAGGGCTCTTGCATGAATCAAAAATCACTAATGTCGGGAGGTAATACAAGCGACAAGGATGAGATGAGTTGGCCCAGGGAAAGAGATGAGGTGCTAGTACAAATAGAGTACAAGAAAGAGACTGAGCCTGCAAAGACAGAGAAAGAGCAGCCCGAGGGAGAGGAATGGCATCAAGAGAGTATGGGCTCAGATGTGGGGGGAGAGTCCTTTCCATAGAGAAGATCAGTGAATCTCACTGCAGAAATTACAGCCAAGTTTTGCCAGCTCTCTGCTTATAGATATACGGCAATATCTATGTCCTAGCCCATTGTGGGACGGTGTGAGCATGTATTTGATTTTGCATGAAGAATTGTGAGCAAAAAGGATGTGTGTTGATTCTGGAAAGAGTTTACAATTGCCTGGGTAACATTCACCAGGGCTCTCCCTCTACAGGGCAACAATGTTCAAAACGGGGGCCACTCCCAATATCTAAACCTTTAGTGATAAGATGAGTCAAGTCCTCCAGCTAACCCTCACTGGATGGGTAGAGTGAGTGAGAAAGAAACCTTTGTTGCTGAGAGCCTGAGGTTTTGGAGTTGTTGCTTTTTTTTTTTTTTTTTTTTAACTGTAGCATAATTTAAAACATTCTGACTGATACAAATGTTAGAACCTGCTGACTGATTGAGAAAGATAAAGATTGAAAGAATAGAATGTCAATCCATAAGATTTAAAAACACAGCTTTAATGAGACCTTGAGAAAGGGATGGGTCAGATCAGAAAGGACTGAAGACTGGGAAGATGAGGAGACCAACAGTAACTATGGAGAGAGATTCTGTCAAGAAGCCCATCAGTGACGGGGAGCACAGGTGAGGAGCTTGCTTGAGGGGGTGTGAAAGTTTGTGTTTTACAAGATGGGGAGGCCTGAGAGATGTGTGGAGAGGAAGGATTCTGATGAGAAAGGGGATTATACTAAGGTAAGCAAGAGATGATGGATGTTGCCCATTTCTTGAAAAGACCAGAGGTTATGCCTGAGCGCCCTTAACCATGCTAGGCAAAATTTCACCAAGTATTCCTTGCCCTCCTTCCAAAAAAAAAAAAAAAAATTATTTAAATAAATAAATAAATAAGCTAATTCTTATACAATTAATCAAAAAATGATGAAAACTTGTATTTAAACTACTTAATTGTTTGTTTTTTGTTGTTTTTTGATACAAGGATTTGAACCCAGAGGTATTTAACCACTGAGCCACATCCCAGCATTTTTTTTTTTTTTACACACAGGGTCTCTCTGAGTTATTTAGGGTCCCACTAAGTTGCTGTGGCTGCTCTTGAACTCTCTTTCCTCCTGCCTCAGCTTAAAGAGCCACAGGATTCTTCTCAATTGGTCCCAATGGCATCTCCAAGAGAAGAACAGTTCCTGCTTCTTTCCCGTCAGAATGGGACTTGGTATATCTAGAACTGGTGCTAGGCACAACTCTATGTAACCCGCTTTTATTTCGAGCCTTATCATTTAGGCTTTTTCATGTTGCAAGAAATAGAGGATGAGTGTATGTTGAAAAGATAGTAGATAAAGTGAGGAAGCATAGGAGGTAATCCACCACATTTATACAATCAGGGAAAATTTACCTTTACTTTAGGATATAACTCAGCACACATCCCTAGAATGTAGGCTCCATAAAGCTGTGAGTTTGTGTATATTTTCTTCACTGAAGTGTGCTCAGCTCTTCGGACAGTCCCTGATATACAACAAGCAGTCAATAAGTATTTGCTGAATGTAAGAATGACAGTTCATCTTGCCTTGCCATTATACATGGGGGTCTAATATGCCTAACTCTGTGATTCTTCTATTCCTGGGCTTAGCTTGTCTCCCATTCTGCCTTATTCTTTTTCTGCTGCTTCTATTACCTCCAGGCACCTCCTCTACCCTTCTGTTCTTTACTCCCATGGTCTCTGAAAATTACTCAAACTTTTGACTAGCTTGTGGTTTCTGCTTTCCGTCTTGTCAAGGTGTTGTGGTTTTGCTGCACTCCTGATCTCCATTTGAAGTATTTCATGTGTTTGCCAAAGACAGATGATTTGATTGGTTAGTTAATGAGTTACCTCCCAGTGTAAAAATACACTAATAGTGCATAGCTTTCATGTTTGACTACCCAATAAGACTACTATCTAGCTATGTAGATTTCAAATTTTCCACTGAAAGGAAATCATTGTATAAGTGATCCAATGTTAACACATTCGTGCGCACTCACACACACACACACACACACATACACACACAGAGGCACACATACATTTAAATACACATTGAAATGAATGGCTCATCCAGTTACATTGAACTTTTTCTAGTGCAATGAACTCTATTCTATTCTATTCATTCCATTACATCCATTCAGTTTCTATTTATTTTATTTAAAATGTTGATAAATTGATTTATCTATACATTGGCCAAATATGTAATTAAAATGAAAAAAAAAAAAAAACCCTGATCTGGCTTGCAGTTGGTCAACTTTGTTTGGGATATCAGTTTGCAACTATTATCATGGTTAGTCAGGACAGAAGAGTCATATGTTAGAGGACATGAAAATTTTTGTCTGTGGGTAGGTTCTTTCATGATAAGGAAACTGTGGGTACAAGAGGCAAACCATGTGGTCTCCATGATAAAACTACTCTTCCTCCATCTCGTGTTCCTCGTATTCTCCCCCATCAGTGTTTTCCATAAACTTACCCCTATTAAAATATCAACTGAGGAATCTTTGCAGTGGGAATCTCTTTAAGATGTGTTTTCCATTTTAATATGAATTTGTTTAACTAGTTCAATTCAATCATTCTTGAGAGAAAATCACTTTGGGAACTGAGTCATGAACATCATAATGAAATTGTTTGTGACAGTCCAGAGGCAGGTGATGTCTTGGAGACCTAAGGCCTTTCTTTCTTTCTTTTTTTAAAAAAATACTTTTTAGTTATAAATGGACACAATATGTTTACTTTGTTTATTTATTTTTATGTGGTGCTGAAGATTGAACCCAGTAACTCACATATGCAAGGCAAGCCTCTGCCTCTGAGCCACAACCCCAGCCCCAAAGGGCCTTTCTTTATACCTCTTCAATCATACATTTTCAAAGCCTGGTCTTGTATAAAAATAAAAAAAAAAAAAAAAAACCTCTCTCAATCCAAATGAGAAGTCTATATAGGATCCAACTCCAACCCTATAATGCTGTGTAGAATATTTTCTGAGAAGGAAACCTGGTGTGGTAGCCAGAATGATAGCTCCTTCAAGATGTCTTTGCTCTAATTCCTGGCATGTGTGAATATATTAGCTGACATGGTAAAAGGAACTTGTTAAATGTGTTTAAAGTCTGTACTTTGAGATGGGAGATGATCTGGATTATGCAGATGGTCTCAATCTAATCATGAGACCTTAAAAGCAGAGAGCTTTCCTGCTGTACACAAGTGAGAGGGACATGATGACAGAAGGATCCGAGAGATCTAAGAGGACACAACCTGCTGTTGCTGGCTTTGAAGATGGATGAAGTCATTCATGCCCAGGAATGTGCACGGCCTGTAGTAATTTGCTATATGAACATTTTAACATGAACATACCAGGAATGAATGTGTTACCCCTAGGAGAATGGATTAGAGCCTCTGCAGTCTCTATTGTTCCAGATAGGAAACCTTGCAGGGTACTGGATGGGTGACTATGGCCCTCCTCTTCTCTGTCACAGAATACTGGGATTTTGTCTCTTGGGTAAAACTGTGTGTGTCTCCATAGAATGTATTTTTCTGCTTCAAGTTAGAGGATAGAGCTTACTCTAGTATAATACTTATTGAGAACATATAAAATAAGATTCAGTGTTCTCAGGATTGGAAATATGCTATCCTTTCTTTCTTTAAATATTTTTGTGTGTGTGTCTTCTTGTGCAAAATTTTAAATGTGCAAGAAATATTTTTATCTCTGTATATAAATAAATATCTATGTCTATACCATAGTTTTGTATCCAGCCCTCAGTTATGTAACATATACTGGAAATAATCATTTTATAAAGAGAAAATGTTATTGGGGCTCCCAGGTTTGAAGGTTTCAGTCCATGAACTGTTGGCCTTGTTGCCTTTGGACCTGTGATGAGGCAGCACATCATGGCAGGAACTCCTGGAAGAGCAAACCACTTGACTTGTGGCTGGAAACTGAAAAAGAGGCAGATGAAGGGGCGGGGGTCCCACTATTCCCTTCAAGAGCCCACCCCCAATGACCTGAAGACCTCCCAAGAGGCCCATGTCTTAAAGGTTCCACCACCTCCAATACCACCATGCTGGAGATTGAGCCTTTGTCACATGGGCTTTTGGAGGACACTTAAAATAAAAAACATAGCTCATATTTCTAAACTGCATTGACAGATAAATTAGTATACCAATTACCCCTTATCTTGGCTTTTAGACTGTGAACTGTATAAAATATTCTTTAAAGTTGATATTCTATTCTAAGCTTACCATGCGGTGTACCAAAGATTTAGAGTAAACTTTTTGCCCCCAAAGCGAGGTAGTTGATTTATTGTGCATGCGTGCGCGCGCGCGCGCGCGCGCGCACACACACACACACACACACACACACACACACACACAAATCACTGCCTAGAGGCACAAAACATTCCACCTTCCTAGGGATTATTGACAAAAATATGCCTCAGAAATTTTCATTTAAGCTCCAGGGAAGTTGATATAAAGACACATGAAAAGACTTTTTCCAAAAAGTGGTCTTGGCATGAAAGTAGCAATTATACCAATAAAAATACAGAGGGGTCAACAAATAGGAAAAAAGCAAGCAATCCATAGGCATTCTGGGTAAAACTGCACAGAGCACTCTCTGGTGCTGAATAGTGACAAAGGGAAGAATAGATATGTCTTGCAATCCCATGAAGAGTTGACCCCTGTTTTCTTGAAGGTTATCATGAAAGCAATAAATGAAAAAAAAAATAACAATGACTTTCTAAAATGGTTCTTGGTTGGAGTTAATTTATGCATGATTCATCTTATGGCTAAGGATCCAGAAAGATATAACAATTGGAAATACAAAATTATGAGAACAACTTGACTTACTTTCTTAATCTGGGGAAATAAGAGCAATCTGAACTAAAACTCTAGTCCTAACATTTTATAATAAGTTTTGAGTAATTCACTGAAATTAACTGGTAAATGGCTCTATTATTGACCATTTTTGGAAAGGTAAAGTGTGATCATGACTCAGGGACAAAGTGACCCAGAAATTAAAGTCACAGCAGACCAGTGTCTGAAAGTCTATGCATACTGAAACAGAACAGGAGGGAAAAAAAACTCCAAGGGGAACTTTCTTCTGAACTTGCAATGCCTTTCTCTTTCCAAGACAGCCGAGTGGGGAAAATCTGAGAACGTGGGGAAAGTGTTGTTTCCTATCACATTGGTGTATTTGAACTTCAGGTACCAAACATTAGTGACATTTAACATAGGTCAATGAAAGTCAAAAAAAAAAAAAACCCTTTGATTATTAAGTAACAGTAAGCAACACCTTAGGCATGTTCAAACCATTTTTCATGTGTTTAATTTGCCCCCTTAAGTATAGGAAATCATTAGTTCTGCTCCCTCCTAGACACAGAGAAGGGGGAAAGTACAATTCTAAACCACTTGCAACATTAGAAGAAAAGAGTTACCTCTGCATTAATAAGGAACTTGATAGCTTCCATGTGGTCAGAGAATTTTTACATAAGAAGGAAGTTTAATTAAGACTTCCTCATTTTACTGATCCATTCATTTTAAGTCAACAAATATGTACTATGGCCAAGTACTGTGAGTTTTTAATCTATTTATAAATGAATAAGATCCATTCTCTGATCTCCTG